CTGAGCAGAATGCAGCACTGATGTTTGAAGATTGGAACACCAGACTCACCGATCATGGATTCAAAGTCAACATCAGCAAAACCAAAGCAATGAGCACTTGTGAACCCATCTAATCCACAGTTACTGGACGATGGCCCTGTTCAGTTTGTAAAGCTGGTGTAGGTAACAATTCAATCAAGTGTCAGCAGTGTAACCAGTGGTGTCACAAACGTTGTTCAAAAATAATTGGTACTTTATCTAAAGTGTCCAATTTTGTTTGTCCTGCTTGCATCAATTTACAACAACAAATTCGAAATAGCAATATTTTTGAAGCAATTAAGGTAGAGAAAGTCACATCGTTTCAATATCTAGGGGATCTTTTGAATTGTACAGGAACAGCTGAAGCTGCCGTTTGAGCACGCATACGTGCAGCCTGGAATAAATGGCATCTCCTTGCCTCTATAATGATGCGGCGTGACATCCCACTACCACTACGATCAAGACTTTATAAATCTGTAATACGTCTGATGTTGTTATATGGTGCAGAAACATGGCCAATGACAACCAAACTGGAACAACAACTTCAATGTACTGACATGAAAATGCTTCGATGGATGCAACGAATTAGTCTGAAGGTCCACATCAAATCTACCAAAATCCTGCGTCGTGCTGGTTTAGATGATATAAAGGACGAATGCCGGCAACACCGTCTGCGATGGTTTGGTCATGTCAAATAAAGTAGAAACAGTGCCATAACTTCTCTTGCAGATGTTGAAGTACCTGTCACACGTCCCAAAGGCCGTCCAAAGAAGTCCTGGTCGCAAACAATCAAGCAAGACATGAAAGCTCTAAATTTAAATGAAATGGATACAAATGATCATCTAATTTGGCGCAAAAAGTTGATGGCAAAGAAAACAACGTCTTATCTCGGGGACCGGGTCTCTGTACGCAAAACGAAGATTGATTGATTTATTACTATATATGGTGTATATATATACAGTACGTACATATATATGTAGGTTAATTTGTATAAAAGTAAGTGTGTATCGTATATTTATATGTGTATATATGGGAATAATACCACTGGTGTTAAGTATCAAAGATAGATACACTTCACACATACCTTTTATATAACACACATATGCACACCCATTTATACATACATGTATGTGGTAGGATAACGAACGTGCTGGATGATTTTTCTGAGCTCTTATATTTTATTTATTATATTTTCTCTTTTTAATAATTTTATCGTTTTTTCTTCAGTTAGTTTTATCTATCTAACCTTTTTTTGTCTATATTTATTTTTTTATGTTAACTTTATTGTTATCTTTTCCATACTTTTATTATTTATTTTACCTTTTTTTCTGTATTTTATTATGTTTGATTTTGAAAAGGCATTTCATAGAATGTCACATAGTAAATTAATGGTTAAATTGAACAAATGTGGGTTGAATGACAGATTGGTTGCTTGGGTTAATAATTATTTGAATGGAAGAACATTTTGTGTGAGAGTGAATGATGGTATGTTAAGATATTGTGAGATAAAGAGTGGAGTTCCACAGGGTAGTGTGCTTGGGCCAATTTTGTTTTTAAAGTATATTAATGATTTATTTGATTTGTTTCAGGATGTAAATGGGGTTGCGATGTATATGTATGAATATGATGCAAAGTTGTTTAAAATTGTGAACTCAGATTGGGATAGTGTGGTAATGCAGAGGGGTTTGAATGATTTGAATGAGTGGTGTGTGCAGAATGATGTGAAATTGAATAAAGAAAAATGTGTTGTGATGAAGTTTGGTTGTTCTGTATCAGAGATAATAATTTTGATTATAAAATAAGCTTGCACCTATTACTTTTTGTTGATAAAATTAAAGACGGGTGTTATTTTTGATACATTTTTGAAATTCATTGAGCATAAACATTACAATGTTAAGAAGGCATTTTCATTGTTGGGTTTAATAAACAGAAATTTAAAAGGTCTTGATAAAAATGTTTTTATGTTATTATATAAATCCTTAGTTAGATCTCAGCTGGAGTACGCAGGAAGTGTGTGGTTACCATGGACAATACGTGAAACAGAAGCGATCGAAAAGGTTCAGAAAAGGGCAACAAAGATGACCAAGGACTGTGAGGGAATGAAATGTGAGGACCGATTAAGATTTTTACAATTGCCAACACTAAAATACAGACAAATAAGAGATGATTTGATAACGATGTTTAACATGTTGAATGAAAAGGACCAACGAAGCTTGCCGGAAATATTGAGAGCCACCAGACGAACAAGAGGACATGAGATGAGGCTAACAGTACTGACATTCCATACGAACTTAAGAAAAAATTATTTTGTTAATAGAACTATTAATATTTGAAATAATTTGAAGGATGACGTTTTTAATCGCAGTGATTTGAATGAGTTTAAAAAAAAGTTGGATGATTTTCTTATGAATTTAAAAACGATTGGAGAGCGGAGTTAAAGGATGACTATTCGTGAATGCTGTTTATAGATTTTGGATGATGGTGAAAATGTTTTTTTTGACATGATTGTCTTAAAGAAAGGACGATGATTGGTTGAAATTGGAATTTTCATGAAGAAATGTTTGCATACATATATATATATATAAAATATAGGTAGTTGAATTAATAAGAGAAATTATTCTCTTATATTTTTGTTTATATTTGTATTTTTGTTTGATCTTTATGTATAAACAGAACATATTAACATATATTCAAGTACATTGTTTGTGTGTTAAAATTTTATATATTTTAAAATTTTTGTGTTGCGGGCATAGGGGCATTTGTCTTCGCCCATGTTTTTTTTTTAATTTTTTCTTTTGTGTGTAGGTAATACGTATAATTTTTGTATTTATTTTCTTTATTTATTTCGTAATCTAAAAATTTGTATCAATTAAACACTATAGTTTTAATTCCAATTATTTCAAATAATTCATTTAACATTATCGATATTATATTTTATTATTCTTAATTCTAATAGAATAACACACGGTACGCTCGCGCCTGGTTTTATTTAGATAGTAATTGTTAAAAAAAAGGGAGACCAAAAAGACTGTGATAATTACAGATCAATTGCACATATGCAAGATCATGCTGACCATCGTAAAAGTATGACAGGAAAAGGTCATAGAGCAGCATCTGCATGAAGAACAAGTAGGCTTCAGAAAGGACAGAAGCACGATCCAACAAATTCTGATGTTGAGACTGATGATGGAGGATGCAAAAAGTAGCGGTCAGACAATTTACCATTGCTTTGTTGATTTTAAGAAAGCGTTTGATTCTGTCTGTCATGAAGGTTTGTGGGCAACATTAGAAAGTATGGGGACATCAGAAAAGCTGGTCAAAGTACTGAAAGGACTTTATGAAGAATCTAAAATGTCGGTAATAATAGATACAGAACTTGGAGATTGGATAAAAGCAGACATTGGAAGCAGACAGGGCGATCCAATATCACCAATATTATTCATAGCATTGCTAGAAAGAACAATGGAAAAAATGGAAAATTCGGAATTGGGTGGAATTGACATAGGAAGGAGAACTGTCCAAAATCTCAGGTTTGCAGACAATATAGACCTTCTAGCTTCTAGTGAAGAAGGTCTACAGAAACTAATTGAACTAAAACACGTTGGTGGAAAAGATCACGGGTTGCATATCAACAAAGACAAAACGAAGGTGATGATTACGGGAAAAGGCAGAAACAATGCGGGATTTCAGATAGAATCAGAAAAATTCGAACAAACAGACCGGTTTGTGTATCTTAGCAGTCTTATAACCTGTGACAACAACTGCACCAACGAAATTGACAGAAGGAGAGCAATAACCCAAAGAATGTTCCCATCATGGAAGGAAATATGGAAAAGTGGAAATGTATCTATAAAAACAAAGTTGAAAATTATAGAATCTTGTGTTTTTCCAAGCTTGCTCTATGTATGTGAGACATGGACAATAAAGAAAAGAGACAAAGACAAATTGAAAGCATTTGAGATGAAGTGTTACCGAAATTTGTTGGGAATCAGTTGGAGGCAGAAAGAAAAGAATGAAACCATCAGAAATCAACTTGGAAGACAGAAAAATGTATATGACGGAGTCAGAAAAAGAAAATTGGGATTTTTTGGACACATTTGTAGAATGAGAAAAAACTGATTGATTAAGATGGTACTAATGAGGAAAAGAGATTGGAAAAAAAAATTGGTAGACCTGCAAAGAAATGGATAGATGACATTAATGAATGGACTGGTGTTGATATTCTGAATTCAATAAAACTGGCCAAAAATAGAAAAGGTTTTGGAAAAAAAAGGAAAAAAAATGTAAAAAGCATGCATCGGCCTCGACGGTCCTTCGATAGACAAAGGAGGATCATTGATTGATTGATTAATTGAATTGTTCAACATTTGTTTGCTTTAGTTGTACGTTCACGTTGGTGTTCCTATTGTTGACAATATTCGTAATAGTTTTTCACTCATTTATAGCTTCCATAATATTTCTTTAAATTCAATTTAAGTGTTTAAAAAAATAATAATTATTATTTAAACCAATAAATTAAATCATTTCAATTCTAATTATTTTAAAAGTATATTTAATTCTATTAAAATTAAACTCAATACACTCGCGCTACACATACGCGCCTGATTTTAGATGGAAACCGGTGGTTCTATAGTTGGCAATATTCTTGACTTGAATAGTCTTTCATTTACTTATAATTTCTAAAAATTACTTTGAATTCAACTTCAATTTTTATAAAAAAAATAAATTAAATTAAAATAATTAAATCAATCAATAAATTAAATCAATTCAATTCCAATTATTTTAAAACTCAATTTCATTTTATTAAAACAACACATAATACACTTGCTCTGCTCATACGCGCTTGTTCATAGATATTAATTGTTAAACGTGTTTCCATAGTTGGCAATAATCGTAACTGTTTTTCATACCTTTATAGTTTCCATTGAATTCCTTAAAATTCAATTTGACTTTTTTCAATCAATAGAGCAATAAATTATAACATGTCAAGTCAGGGTTCTTCTTTGGATCTATCCTCCCTCAAATGTTGCCATGCCTGCTTCAAACACTTTAAATTGAGGCACGATGGTACGTTTGTAAGACATGGAGGTAAGGTGAAAAGAACGGAGTGTTCTGGGTCGCTTAAAAAGCCACTTTCAAGCCTTAATCGGCGGAGGTCATTTGGATCTGGTATGGTAAATACGTCAATCTAAAATGCTGACCCGAAACCACCAAAACGTGCGGCATTTGAGGGTGACGTTTTTCCTTCGGCAAAGGACTTTTTTCTTTAATCTGCTCGGTTTCTGTTAATTACATACCAAAACAGTCATGCAGAAAGTTTGGAAAGACGTTGACCTGCATTTTGAAAGCCATCCTGGATAACTCTTCAGTCACAGCTTTGTGGTGTAGACTGTTATTTCTGCACGTTTGGTCCTCCGAAAGGGGCCAAGAGGGGATAAAGGCTACAACGTTAGCATCGGAATAAACAACAGATTGGATGCACTGGCAAAAGGACATTTTGAAGACATATTAAACTCTATCGAACCAATATCAGTTATAAAAAAAAAGCTCGACAAAAAAAATTGAGTTCATTGGTAAAAAGTAAAATGGAGCAGGGCAACATCAAAAATGCCATGAGAATATTGGAGCCAATGGCTCTAAATTCTGCAGACAGGCTTAGTGCTTTGAAGAATAGGCACCCAAAAGCGCCATTAGACAGAAAACCAAGTCCGGACAAGAAACCTACAAATGATAAAGGCATGGTGCTTGAAACAGTTTCCAAAAGGGACTTCCGGGAGAAGAGATGGCCTTACACAACAACATTCGAGAGATTTGACTCATGATAAATCTAAAGCCACCGAGCTTGTTGATGCAGCAGCCAGCATCATCAATTTGTTGCTAAGTGGTGTCTGCCCTACTGGGGTTGAACTTTATTTTTTTGGTGGGAGATTGTTGGCGCTCTCCAAAAAAGATGGAGATGTCTGATCCATTGTTTTTAGTTGTGTTTGGAGACTCTGGGCTGCCAAATATGCTCTGCTATCTATAAAAGAAAAGATAGCTCCAATCCTTCAACCCCAGCAAGATGGTGATGGCGTCAGCGGTGGAGCAGAGGGAGCGGTGCATGCTGTCCGACGTTTTGTTGGCAACATGGCCGAGAATGAAGGTTTTTTAAAACTTGACTTTTCCAATGTTTTCAATTCCCTTCGCCGGGACAATATGCTTGGATGCGTCAAGTCACGGCTTCCTGAAATATATAACTTTTGTTGGCTGTCATACGATGCTGACTCATTCCTTTCCTTCAAAAACAATATTATTTTGTCAGCTGAGGGTGTACAGCAAGGTGATCCTTTGGGTCTTCTGCTTTTTTCTCTGTCAGTCGATCTACTAATAACATCTCTTCGTTCAAAATTTGTTGTTGCTTATCTCGGTGATATTGATTTGGATGGTTGTTTGAATATACATATAGTTGTTTTGTTTTTAATAAAGATATTTTTTTATACAGTTAAACTTCAACTGTTCAAGCTTCTCAAATATCAAACTAATCTGGCTGGTGCCATGGTTCGCAAATATAAGCAAACTTCCGAACGAGGAAAATATGGAGACGAGTTGCTTGCAACCGGTTTGCAAACTATTGCAAATGGAAAATCTCTGATTCTTGTAAGCCAAGAACTTAGTATTCCAGCGCGAACATCACAGAGATAAAAAAAAACACTCAATCCTGGAACTCTAAAATTTGGACGTCACATTCCACTTCTTTCCGATTTAATTTAACTTGAACTTCATAACCATATACAATATATGGAAAGAAGTCTTTATGGACTCACTCCTTATGATGTACGTCGTTTAGCTTTTGAGCTAGCCGAAACCATGAATAAAAACAAAAAATCTGCTGGAAAAGATTGGCTTTCAAGTTTCCTCACACGATATCCTGATCTATCAATAAGAAAACCAGAAGGAACCAATTTGTCACGTGCAATAGCGTTTAACAAACCAAAGGTGATACACTTTTTTGAAGTTTATAAACTACTACTCATTGACATTCCTTGTACTCCTTTACACATACGGAATATGGATGAAACAGGTGTAACAAATGTGTATAACTCAAGTAAAATTGTTGCTAAAAAAGGTAAAAAAGCTGTAGGCAAAATCACTAGTAGAGAAAGAGGTTCAACAGTGAGTTATATGTGCATTCAATGCTGCTGGTAATTTCCTGCCACCTATGTTCATATATTCTCGCAAAAGAATGACTGATGCTTTACTAAAGGAGTGCCACCAGAAACTGTTGGACACATTAGTCTAAATGGATGGACTAATTCAACACTATTACTAAATGGTTGATCCATTTTTCAAAATGCACAAACGCTTCCAAAGAAAATCCTACTATTATTTTATTAGATGGACACAACAGCCATAAATCTATTAGTGCTATAAATTTAGCCCGTAGCAAAGGCGTACATATGTTAACATTTCCAACCCATTTTACTCATAAACTGCAGCCACATGACAAGACATATTTTAAACCACTAAAAAGTGCTTACAATATTGCTTGTGATAACTGGTTAGTGTCAAAACCTGGTAAAAAGTTTTTATGATATAGCCAGTTTATTTAAAAAAGCATTTCTTCGCACATCAACTCCTGGACAAAGCAGTTAATGGATTCAAGACTTGTGGACTATGGCCATTTGATAATAATATTTTTTCCGATGAAGATTATCAAACAGTTGATGTCACTGAAGAAGAAGAAAAACCAAATGCAGAAATAAATCATCAATTATCTAAAATTTCAATTTTAGAAACCATCGATCAAACCCAGTTATCTTCTACTAACAAAACAGTTATCAATATGTTAAATGGTTCAATAAAAGGTGTGCAGATTGAGACGACTAATTTAAATCAGTCATATGTCCTGGGCATGACATAAAACTGCATCCACACTGCCTTGCGTGCTTTTGAGCAAAAGGCTAGGCCCATCGCTTATAACTGGTGGTTGTCGTCAGGATGGGTATCTGGATGTAAAAACATTTCCCCAAATTATTCTATGCCATCACAAATAAAAACAACGACTCCTAGTCCCCAGCAGGCCTTAAGTGGTCAAGGGGTGCCAAAAAGTATGCAATAGCGGAGGGATGTTGCAGATAAATTCAGAATGACCCCTCTATGGTACTTAGACTTGAAACGCTCGATGTTGGATCACTGACTGGCCGCAGCATGGAAATCGCCGAAATGCTCGAGCGTAGAAGGATTGACATATGTTGCCTTCAGGAAACCCGATGGAAATCAAATGGTGTCTGTCATATCAACTCAGACAAAAAAAAATATAAACTATTCTGGAATAGTCAAAAGACAGTCAAAAATGGTGTTGGAATTTTTGTCAAAAAACCGCTAGCCCAAAAAGTATTAAAAATATTAAAATATTAAGAATATTAAAAGGATTAACTCACGTCTCATGTGGATCAAGCTTCGCCTAGAATAGCAAACAATAACTATTTTTCTGCATGCGCACCACAGACAGGCGTTCTCTGACACTATCTAAACAATATCAAAATCTGAAACAATCCTGATTGGAGGCGATCTAAATAGCCACGTTGGAGAGAAAACAGATAATTTTGACAACGTACATGGTGGTTTTGGCTATGGAGAACGGAATGAAGATGACAACCGCATCCTTGAGTTTGCTGAAAGTCACGGGTTTTGTTTACTGAACACATATTTTAAAAAGAGGTTGGAACATTTTATAGCATACATACATCAGTCACGCAAATTGATTTCTTCGCAGTCAAGCAACAACACCGAAGGCTATTTAAAAATGTCCAAGTTATACCTGGCGAATCATGTGTCGCCCAACATAGACTCATTGTGGCAGACCTAGTTGTCGAACTGTCACAACATAAGTCTAAACAAATGTCTCGGAGAATCAAATCCTGAAAGTTGAAAAGCAATATTCATCGATAAAAATTTCAACAGAATGTCGCCACACAGTTAGACCACCAATCGTAGGTACAGATTGCAGTACATACAAAATCGTTTAGATAAACGCTGCAACTACAGTTTGTGGGAAACTGGTACAAAACGCCAGCATGAACGGGACACTTGGTGGTGGAATGACAGTGTACAAAATGCATTAGCTGAAAAGAAAGCTGCAAACAAGCATTGGCAAAAATCAAGGTCTGTTGATGACCATAAAATTTTCCGTGAGAAGAACAACTATGCAAGACGTCAAGTTGCACTGGTTCGGACATTTCAGTGCGGAGAGTGGCTCACTAAATGCAAAGGTGAACAAATGAAATCTCTGTATTGTATAGCAAAACAAGCAAAGCATGAGAAAAAAGACATAGTTGGTGCCTCATGTATCAAAAAAGACAAAAACGAGATGGTTCTTGAACAAGATGAGATCAAGCTATAGTGGAGAGAATACTTCAACCGTCTGTTAAACGAAACAAATCCCATCAATGTTAACTTTGACGCTCCACCCATCGAAGTTCCAATTTCAGACATCACTGTAGAGGAGCTTACAGAAGCTCTGAAAGCTATAAAGGATGGAAAGGCAGCAGGGCCCTCTGGACTCACAAATGACATTATCAAAGTATCTGGTACTGCAGGTATCCAAACGTTATTACAACTTTGCCGTGAAATCTGGAGAAATTGCTCAATGCCGACTGAATGGAACTATAGCATGACAGTTCCGCTATACAAAGGCAAAGGTGATCCATTGAACTGTTCATCATATCGGGGTATATGTCTGTTAGAACACTCCCTGAAAATTGTCGAGAAAGTCATTGAGAGAAGATTAACGTCTTGCATCAAAATCGGAAATTATCAACATAACATAACATAATAGTTCAAATAAAGGGCGCAAACTAAAATTTCTATGCCCCCAACAAAATCATAACCAAAATATAATCAACTCTTAATAACAGAAAATAATAAGATCGAAATAAAACAACTAGTCTGAAATAAACCACAATAGTATTAACCAAACTGAAAGAAATAAAAAAAAATATGAAACGCTTCACAAATTTGCGTGTCATCAATTTGATTTCCTAGCGGGAAAATCAACAATTGATGCAATTCACATCATTCGGTAACTGCAAGAGAAGTACCTCGCAAAGCATCAACAACTATCACACATTTTTGTAGACCTTGAAAAAGCATTTAATCGAGTACTCCGTGAGGCAATCAGGTGGAGTTTACGTCGACAACTCATTCCAGAATATCTTGTTCGACTTGTGATGGAAATGTATAAAAAATACTAAGACTCGGTCAGCACAACATAAATGCATTTGACATCGGCGTTGGAGTTCACCAAAGCTCGATTCTCAATTCAATCAAGTGTCAGCAGTGTAACCAGTGGTGTCACAAACGTTGTTCAAAAATAATTGGTACTTTATCTAAAGTGTCCAATTTTGTTTGTTTTGCTTGCATCAATCCACAACAACAAATTCGTAATAGTAAAGTTTTTGAAGCCATTAAGGTAGAGAAAGTCACATCGTTTCAATATCTAGCTGCCGTTCGAGCACGCATACGTGCAGCCTGGAATAAATGGCATCTTACCGCTTGATGAATTAGAAAACAAAGAAAATGACAAAATGATAGACAAAGAAAACTCAAAAAAGACATAGACATATGGGTGTCAGTAGTTAAAAATGATAAGATAAAAAGTGAAGAAGTTAAAGTGGTGAATGAAATTGTGGCCGTAAACAAAGATAAAGAAAAAAGGGAAAAAATGTTGTAATTTTTGAAATACCTCTATCGAAAGAGAGTAACATCGAAAACAGAAAGATTCAAGACAAGGCAATTGTAGAAGATGCCTGTAGTGAGTTGAATGTTGACAAATTAATATTTTGAATATTGATAGATTCAAGCTTAAATCAAATGAGGTAACAACCCCTATTTTAGTGAGGTTTAAAGATAAAACAGTGCAAAAAGAAGTCATCCAAATGGCAAGAAAAAAGTTAAAGAATTCTGAAAAATTCAAAAAATTCTTCATTTCACCAGATCTGAATGAATCAGAAAGAAAGCTATCCAAAGAGCTAATTAAAAAGAGAAATGAAAAAAATGAAGAGTTAAACAAAAGTAACAAACTGATTAATCTTTTTTGATATGGGTTCGATGAAACAAAGTTGTTGCAGTATACAACAACAACAAACGAGTCTAAAACAAAAAAATAGAGCAAGAATTTGTTTTGTTGGTACACCAATGCCACATCACTGAACAGCAAATACAATGATTTAATTATTGAAATAGAAAATAAAAAAACAGATATTTTAATGATATGTGAAACATGGTGGACAGACACTTCAGCAACCAGCATTTCAGGTTATTCTTTATTTAGGCAAGACAGGAACCATGGCTGAGGTGGAGGTGTGTGTATATATGTAAAAAATATTATTAAATTATATGAAATAACAAATAAATTTTTAAATAATGGAATTATTGAACAAATTTTGGTGCTCAGTAGAGGTTGGTGATGAATCAATTTTGTGTGGATGTATATATCGCACTGGGAACAGTAACTTAAGTTATTGTAATTATATAATAAAATCTATAGATGAAGCAGCAAAATATATAACAAATAATAAATTTAGTGGTATGTTAATATGTTGTGATTTTAATTTTAATATGATAAAGTAAAGTGGAATGAAGAAAATATTGGAATTGTCACAACTTCAAATGAATCAGCTTAGTTATTTATGAAATGCTTAGACAACAACTTCATTTATCAAAATGTTATGGAACCTACTTTTCAGAAGGAATCAGGTTTATTAACAAATGTTCTTGATTTAATTTTATCTGAATCATGTAATAGAGTTTATATGTTGCAAAATTCACCACCTTTGGGAAATATAGAACATGGTCATCATATATTAGAATTTAGATATAGCTATAGTGATTCAAACTCAAGACCGGTCTCTATAACATCTGTAGTTTGCAAAATAAGGGAGAGTATAACAAGAGATACACTAATGAAACATCTAAATGAAAATAAATTAATTATCAAAGAACAACATGGTTTTGTAAATAATAAAAGCTGTTGCACTAATTTATTAGAAACATTCGATTTAATAATAGAAGCAAATGAACATAATATAATACCGGTCGACATAGCATTTCTTGACAGTGGCGGATTAACCATTTTGCCGCCTAGAGGCACTCGTGGTTTGCCGCCCCAATTTTAAATTTTATAATAAATTTAGAAATTAAATTCATATAAACGCAATATTTTTAAAACATTTTTATTAAGTACATTCTTTAATAATATTCATGTAATGTAATATTATCAATTTTAAAAAATAAATTTTCTTTCATTGCAGTTTATAAAAGTTATTTCAAAACTTTACGACGTGCCTTCCTGTGCGTAAATTCATCAATAACGAAATTAATGTCTAAATCTTGCAAAATTGTTTTTTCGATGCATAGAATTGCAAGATAATTTAATCTTTCTTCGGACATTGTCGAACGCAAATAGTTTTTAACGCGCTTTAAACAAGAAAAAGATAGCTCGGCCGAACAGTTTGTAGCAGGAGTACAAGTGTACATCCGAAGTGCAATGACTACATTTGGATATACACACTGCAAGTCATTCAATCTTATCCATTTACACAAATCAATTGGAGTGTGTGGAACTGCATTTTGGTCTAAGGTAGCCAAATGAGACTTTAAATGTAACAGTTCAGTATTTAAGGTGTCGTCTAGATCGTTTGGAAATAAAGATCTTAATCCATCCGCTGCAATCTCTAGCTCACCCACTGACAATGTTTTGAACTGTACAATTGCTTTGAAATTTTCATTAATTTCTACATAATCGTTTCGTTTCTTGTTCATTTCAGAATTTAAGTTATCCACAATTACAAAAAATATGATTACACGAAAATTTTCTCGAGTGGTAAATTCTGTTCCTTTGTCAACTGATTCGTCGTAATGCCGCTTCCGTTTTCTTAATGGCGGTACCTTGTAGTCATCAACTAAAGACAGGACTTTTCCTTTTTTTTCATAATCCTCAAATCTTTCTCTGAGTGATTCGAACAACGTTAAATGTGAGTCGTAAATTTCGATTACAGTCGATAGATCAATGTCTACTTTTTGAAGTTTGACGTTAGACTTGTTCAGACATTCTAAAACAAAACTCCACAATTCTACCATAATTCCGGTTTCAAGAAAACTCAAATTAGAAATAATTCTTCTATCCTCAGCACGAATTTCTGGTTTGAATCCTTTTAAAGTATCAATTTCAATAATTATTTTTATTCAACTTGAATATTTTTAAATAATAGTTTTCAAAATTTGCCGCCCCAGGCCGGTGCCTGTTGTGCCTGTGCGTTAATCCGCCACTGTTTCTTGATTTTGCTAAAGCTTTTGATTCTGTACCACATGAACGATTATGTATAAAATTAGAAAATCTTGATGTTAAAGATAAATTGTTAGGTTGGTGCAAAGCATTTTTAAGTGAAAGAAAACAAAGAGCGGTAATAGGGGAGTATGTGTCAAGCTGGATAGATGTCCTGAGTGGGATTCCTCAAGGGTCGGTACTTGGAGCATTACTATTTGTGATGTACATCAATGACCTTACAATGAACGTCAGAAATAATTGTAAATTATATGCAGATGACACAGAATGATTTGGATGATATGTTTAATTGGTCAGACAAGTGGCAGGTGAAATTCAATACTGAAAAATGTAAAATATTGCATATTGGTAGGAATAACTATTTCTACTATTTGATTACTATATGTATTATGATAGGAAAGAAAAAATAAAATTAAATAAAACTGAACTTTAAAAAGACTTGGGTATTTATGTGTCAAATGATCTGAAATTGGAAGGAACATGTCTGTTATGTAGTTTGGAAAGCAAACAGAAAACTAAACATGATTAGAAAGTCTTTTCAATTTCTTGACGAAAAATCACCAAAACTGCTTTATACATCTCTGGTAAGACCGCACCTGGAGTATGCGGCTACAGTCTGGAATCCATATCTAACAGGAGACATAAAAAAGTTAGAGCAAGCTCAGAAAAGAGCAACCAGAATGTGTAAATTAAAAAACTTACCATACCATGACAGATTAAATATGATTGGTTTAACAACTTTAGAAAAAAGAAGAACCAGAGGTGATCTAATTCAGATGTATTAATTTTTAAGCGGCACAAATGTAATAAACTGGCATAATGAACCGATATTCGTGTTTGACCCAAGAACAAGAGGACATAATGAATGGAAAAAGTTAAAAAAGAAAACTGCCAAAAACGTTTTTTACAAATCGTATAGCCAACAATTGGAATAACTTATCTCAGGAAGCAATTGATGATTTGAATATTTTATATATTTAACTTATTTAATATATATATATATATATATATATTAATATATATATATATATATATATTTAATATATATATTTTATATATTTAACTATATATTTTATATATTTAACTGTATAGACTTAATTATAGAATGAATAATTTAAAGCAGTGACAGTCACGTTACTAATGTAACCTGACTCAATGCACACACGTGCATCACTGAATATTTTTATTATTATTATTATTAGAACAAAGCATTCAAGGTGTTCTTGGTATGAACATTGAACTAATTTTATTTATTTAAATCTTCTGAAGTAATTAGTAGAAGCTTCTTGCTTGGCTTTATCGACGTAGACCCCAGAGAGACTCAGCTATGGTCATTAAATACACATACATACTCACACAAGTATGGACTGCATTTTCGTGAGCAAAGAACTGGGTCATTGATGTGACTTCATGTGGGCAAAGAGTCCAATTCTAGGCAAACATCGACAATTACCGATTTCACAGACCCACACTCCTGTGCCGCTTTCATCCTGGGCCACCTGTTTTCGCCGTTTCCTTTTGTCAACCAGAGCTGTGATACGTACCTGTTCAAAGGCAGAAACCGCCACCTGTGAGTTCGATCTCCATTCCGTACGCTGTTGGGTTTCAGTGCAGAATGTTTTTGGGCCAAGCCCACACTTTTTCAAGTTTTCCTTCAGACCGTCCTTATATTTACGAACCGGGCCAGTTGCAAGACGAGCACCCAAGGCCAGCTGTCCAAAGAAGACCTGTTTTGGAATTCTTGCATCCGGCATGCGGACAACGTGTCCTGACCAGCGAAACTGGGCCTGGAGCAGCATTGCCTCGATACCCATTGTACCACATTTCTCCAATAATGTGAGCAATAGCTTGAAGACATTTCATGTGGAATTAATTGAGCTTTCCTATGTGGCGTCAATAAGTCGTCCATGTTTCACAACCATATAGCAGAGTAGTCAGTACAACTGCTTTATAAACTGCAATTTTGGTAGCCAGAGACACTCCATGCTCCCTCCAGAGACGTCTACTTAATTCTCCAAATGCAGCACCAGCCTTTGCGAGCCTGGCTGTGATATCACTATCGGTAGCAGTTGTATTTGAGATGTAGCTGCCAAGATAACAAAATCTATTGACAGCCTTCAACTGCAAGCCGTCTGCTGATACTGTGGCCGCTGAATCAGATGAGATTTGGTAGCTTTGATGTAGAGCCTCTGTTTTCTTTAAACTCACTGGGAGTCCAAATTTTTTAGCTGCGGCATGAAAACGATTGAAAAGAGAATGAACTTCATTCTGTGAATGTGCAACCAGAGCACAATCGTCGGCAAAGAGGAGGTCGCGAACAATGACCATCTTCGTCTTTGACTTTGCTTGTAGACGTCTGATGTTGAAGACATCTCTATCCAGGCGATAGCATATTGGTATGCCTTCGCAACAGTTTTAAAAAACAACCTTCAGCATCAGGGAGAGGTAAATGTTGAACAACAACGGGACCCTGACGCATCCCTGTTTGGTACCATTATGGACCTCAAATACCGGAGAATGTTCTCCATTTTCAATTACGCTTGCTCTCATACCGTCGTGAAAGGAGCGAACAATGGAGACAAAAACGGTGAACAACCAATCTTCACCAGACATTTCCAGAGAGCTGAAGGATCAACAGAGTCGAATGCCTTTGTTAGATCGACAAAGACAAAATGGAGACCATGTTGCTGCTCTCGACATTTTTCCTGTAACTATCTAGCAGTAAAGATCATATCGCTTGTACCACGCCCAGCCCGAAAACCACATTGACCCTCCGGAAGGATACCAATATCATTGACGTGCTTAGTCAGACGATTGACAATCACTCGAGCCAGTATTTTGCCGGGAATTGAGAGCAAGGAAATCTCCCTATGGTCATCACAACACGAACGATCGCAATTTCTTTTAAACAAATGGACGATGAGAGCTTTTTTTAAAATCCTGATGGACTGTCTGTCCTTTCCACATCTGTCAAAACAATGCCACCATCCTGATCCTAAGGTCTGGTCTACCGTATTTGAACAACTCTGCTGGGAGACCCTCCGGACCTGACGCCTTTCCAGCAGCCACCTGTGAAATGGCCTTTTCCACCTCAGGCAAACTAGGAGGGACATCAAGACTGTTTGCCGCATCCCACTCAGTCAATTCAGCAAGCACTGTATCATCAAAAGAGGACTTCTGGTTTAGCACACTACTGAAGTGCTCAGCCCAGCAGGCCAGAATACCAGGACCATCTCTGATGAGTGTTTGACCGTCATATGAGCGCACAGGAACACTGCCTGATTCACGCCGGCCAAACACCTTTTTTAAATTTTTGTAAAAAGATTTCATGTCTTTGCCATTGGTCGACCACCAGAATTTTTTCATTTGGCAAAGTCTCCTCTGTGCTGCGTGTCTGTGCATATTGAGCCTTCTTTTCGCTACTATTTTTGTCGTTAATCCTGGCAAGATGAGTTTTGTGCATTTCATCCAAAAGCCATCGAGCCTCCTCATCCTGATTATCAAACCAGTCTTCATGGACACTACGTCGCCGACCGAGCACATCTACCGCAACGTTTTCCAGGGTCTGCCTGAACTGAGGCCATTCGATACCCGCATCTTTCGCTAGTTCATTCTTAATTTTTTGACAAAACGATTCTCTGATTGCCCAGTTATCCAGTTTAGCCACATCCAATTTAGTAGCTCTAACAGCTTTTTGGTGTCTCTTGGCTGGTTTTGCTGTTAGAAACACTGACATCTTGATGAGACAGTAACTTGACCACATTGTAGTTTTCCGAAACGCTTTAGTTAGACGATCGAGACAAAGGTCACGTTGCCTTGTTAGGATGTAGTCGATAACATGCTAGTAACCTGAACGCGGATGCTTCCAGTTGGTCTTCTTCTTGTTGGCCTGTTGGAAAACCGTATTAGTTATCACCAGACTGTACAGAGTTCAAGCAGCATAGTTCCGTTTGAGTTTTTCTTTCCAACTCCATTGCGACCAAGCACCCTGGGCCATAGCATGTGGTCAGTGCCAACGCGGACATTTAAGTCTTTCAAAACAAACAGTTGATGCTTTATATGGTGTTAAAGCAACAGCTTCATTGAGCTGCCCATAGAACAAATCTTTTTCCTCCTTTGTTGGCCAAGCGTGGGTGCATAGCAGCTGATCAAAGTGGCAGTGTGGTTTTTTTCTAGGCTAAGTTGCATCCTCATCAGCCGAAGAGAAATACCAAAAAGAGCCTCGTTTACAGTCTTTAGGAGGTAGTTACAAATAGCAAAACTAACTCCACCCGTTCGTATCTCTCCCGTTGGTCGACCCTGGCAGAAAAAGATGTAACCAGCACCCTTTTCCTCAAACTGGGTTGATGCAGAAAATTTTGTCGATGCCAAAGCTGGCGAGCTCACGAGCCACAATTGCAGTGCGACGTTCATGTCGACTTTCCTTGTCTAGCAATGTATGTACATTCCAAGCAGCAAGGTTCAAGATATTTCTTTTAACAATTTTTGAATTTTTACCGCAGAGAAAGATGTCCAGACATGAGCTAGCAATGTTTAGGACAACCTTTTCTAGTCCCCTCTTCAACTCTGAAGAAAGCAGTGCGTCCCTAAATAGGGCTGCTTTGTCGTCTGGAGCAGGCACCGAACACCACCGTAGTTCTCAGTGGATGAGCGATGTACATCTCACAGACCACCTACGTGCTGATTTGTGGCTAAACACCTCCAGTGTCATCCTCCATTTGTGTCCGTCGCCGTAGAACTTGGCCCTCACAATGACAACCACCAATGACAACCTTCACAATGAATCGTTTAAAGGTCGACCTCATCAGGCACAACGTGTTGAGACGCGATGACCAACCATGTGGACGCATCAGTTTGGGCGAAACTGTAGTGTAGTATAACCGTCCCTATAGCACAACTGAACAATGGTTTCAAATCAGAGTTTCACCTTCTTCTAGATGGATTGCTTATGAAGCTGACGGACATCCTCACCCCGAAACCAACAGAACACCAGTTTTAAGGCGCTGGTTACTCGCCATTCGCCCTCTCCGGTTAGCATTACCCACCCCCCGCCACGTAGAGGCCAGGAGTAGGACATCTCCAACACCACTTCCGGCTAAAATCAACTCTTTTGGGGGGCTCACACGTACGTATACGCAAACAAACGTAAAAATAAAAATCTTTGATCTGAAAATTTTTGAAAATTTAACTTTGCCGGTGGTTTTTTAATAACGCACTTGAATCCGTGGCAAACCACACAAACAAAATTTGCAAATCGCAAAATCCGCGGAGTTTTGAGAATTTTTATCCGCAACCGTTGTAACCGCGGTTGGGAACCGCATTGCGGTTATCCGCTTGAGACTCTAATAGCACCACCTGAACAAAAGTTTAGGATATCTTTTTACAACCAGATATTATAGATATATCAATTCAAGCAGTAAATGATAGATTTACTCAATTATTAAAACATAATGCGTTATTTGGGTTTTTAACAATATAAAGGGCATACCTTTAAAGGATGACAAACTTAAAGCGCTGTTACGATTAGCGCTAAATCAGATATAACGAATGAGAATTGTGGAATGATATAAAAGCTATATGGAAACTTGTGATCCATCAAAAAGCGATCCAAAAAATGTTTTGCATTGAAATTTGTCGAAGCGTTTCCTAACCTTTTGATAGCTCTTCGGATTCTTTTAACGTCACCAGTCCCAGTTGCCAGCACCGAAAGAAATTTTTCAAAGTTAAAAATAATAAAATTGTATCTGAAGTCTCAAATATGCCAAGATCATTTAGTTAATCTTGTTACCATTTCAATCGAAAAAGAAATTGCTGATTTCTGAATTTAAAGCAAAAAAATTCATTATTAAATACAATTTATATAAATTAATAATTTTTAACATGTTTTTTAATATGAATCGATTTATTTGTGAAAAGTTTGTTTTCGAATGATTTTTCCAAATAAAATCAAATGAAATTGAAGTTTTCAAATAAAAAATTTATTGGAGAGGGGTGGCATATTCGCCTGTTGCCTATGCACAAAAGAGTCCTAGAACCGGGCCTGGCTTTTATAATACTTCCATTCATTACAGAAGTAGGAATTCTTAACAAAATGTACAAAGATGAAAATTTATATCCTGAAAATCCACAGTAAAGACGATACCGAAAACCAAAACACCGATAACCATTAACAATTAAGTAATTAGTAATTAAACGAAAAACATAAAATTTCAATGGAGCAGTGGCGTCACTAGGGGGGTGCGGGGAGTGCGGACCGCACCAAGCATTGAATTATATATAAGAATGGCTTTATAGTGTTGACCTTCTTCTCAAGGTCAGGAAGCTTGGAAGCAAACTTTTTTAGCACCAAATTGTCAATGGGTTTTTCAGTTTTCCAATCTATATTTAGCTTCTTCCCTGTTAAACTTTGTGCTATCGGCGACAAATTCTTGTAAACATTTTTTACTGCTGAAATCATTCTATGGCAGTTTTAATCGATTTTAAACTTAATAATTTAACTGAATTTTGATCCATTTTGATTTTATAAATGTCATTTTCTTAAAAGTTTTACAAATGTTACATTGTGCCAGGAAAAACTAGACTCATACTAGTAGAAGAAGAGAGGTTTTTTTTGTATTTTTATTTTGAATTTTTGACTTTTTATTTTTTAAACTGTCTAATAAATTAATGTTAAAAAAAACTCAAAAATTTCAATGTCGGTATATTCGTTCGTGTACTTTAAAAAATCTACGTTTGTACTGGCATCGAAATTTTCTTGTTTTATCAACAACTAATTGGTTAATTAGAACTAGATAACAAGCCTCATAAATCT